GTTCGTCACAGATCCTAACCAGTATTTTTCTTGGGTGACAGGGAGTCATTTCCATCCTCGCATTCTCTGCTGAGAGCCACTTGGACCTCACCTTGAACACACTTCAGGAGTTTGGGGCTGCAATGAGCAAGGTTAAGATTTCTGGGCTCATCGACCATCTGAAGGTAAAGGAGCCAGGGGCTTCTCTCAAACTTCCTCTCCCTCTAAAGCAGGGGCAGCAACCCTGCGGTAGTGTCTGCTTTGGTCAGCTAGCATTATCCCCCAATGTATGCGTTCTACGTGATGCCTGCAGTTAAGCAGAGTGGAGCACAATCTGGAGCTGGGGTTCTCTCAAATGATTTTTATCGTCTGATGTCTCATGGCTTGAGTGCCCCTCCCATGCACAATGTGTGGGAACTACATCAGTTGCTTGCATGGAAAAGCATTTCAGGCATTTTTAGATGTTTTTTAATCCCGGTTAGTAGCTGGAAATGAGGAGGTGTTGCAAGCAACATGTGGCTAACCAACCTGCTGTAGGTAGACCACCAGTGGTCTACGGATGACAATTATGGAACCTCTGATTTAGAGCAGTGGTTCTCAACCTTTCCAGATTAGTGTACCCCTTTCAGGAGTCTGATTTGTCTTGTGTACCCCAAATTTCACCTCACTTAAACTACTTGCTTACAAAATCAGGCATAAAATTATAAAAAAGTGTCATAGCACACTATTAATGAAAAATTGCTTATTTTCTCATTTTTACCATATAATTATAAAATAAATTAACTGGAATATAAATATTGTACACTCAGTGTGTAGTATAAAGAAGCCATTGTATGAAATTTTTATGCCAGGACTGGATTGGGACCAAGTTCTTACAATGGAGCTGACACTACTTGGACCGGCAAGAAAATCACCACTGCAGTAGCCAAATCCAAGAGAACCAGTTGAAACCGATCACTTCTTCGAAGAGGAATTCATTACTATTGAGTTAAGCCCTGTGTATGGAAACTCATTTAGAGAAGACTTCCTGTTCCTCAGACACGAACAGAATATCTTGAAGAGCTGAGGGGTGGGGAGTTTGATGCACCTTCAGTATAAAAATGAAGTTATAAAAGGAGCTGGGCTGGGGGGACTTCTCTGCTCTTATTCAAATTAATAAAAAGAAATGCTCCTCTCTGTCATTTTGCCACTCGACGTGGGAGAAGTTGCCCGGAAACAGACCACAGCAGCAAACATCAAACAGCATGCAAAGTGCTAGACAGCTCCCATCAGACAGTCTACAGCAGACATCACATACACGGGCCCAGATTCACCTCTCATGTACCTCCTTTGGCTTCAACCACCAGAGGTGAATCTGGTCCCTGGGACTTGTATATCTAAGGGGCTCTTCCATTAGACATGTAATTCCTTTGCTACACTGAGGTCAGATGCTTTGGAGAGGGATTTTAGTGACAATTAAACCTGTTTAAGAGGAACTTTTGGGGGGGATTTTCTGGTACTAACTCTGTCCTGCTCTACCAACAGCTACTAGCGACATGGTTCAGTTCAGGGAAGGAGTGGGAGAGAGAAAGGGCCTTGCAGGCCAGCACCCAGCTGCTGACTGCCTATCAAGAAACAGTTAATAGCACAGTGAGAATAGCCTTACTCTTCCTTGAGCTGACTTCCCTGCTTATATCAGATCTGACACTCAACGCAAATGCATGACAAACTCTTCCAGGGCAGCAGCTGGGATCTCAAGGTGACTAAGATCCTTCTGCTTCCAGAAGAGAGAGGTTTACACAACAATGCTGTGACCACACTCCGGGCAGACGGCAAGAAGTAGAGGGCAGACAATCCCCCAAACTGATGGCTTATTCTATAATTAGATTCACCAACAACAAAAGAGCTTCCACCCTAGTTAACAACATGCAAACACAGTCCCTTTTTGGCATTCCAGACCTTGGCTCCCATCTAAACAGCCAAGTCTAATATAGTGAGGGGTTACTGAAAACCTGATTCACCATATGAGAGGTTCACCGATCATAAAGGACCAGATGCTTATCCCCAGGTCTATGTGAATCTCAGGTCTTTCCCAAATATCATGTTGTCAGCCAATCCTTAATAACTAACTCTAAGATTTATTGTTAAAAGAAAGAAGAGAGTTACAAATGGTTAAAAGATCAAACAGAGATGGGGGGGGAGGGGTGTCCTTCATGAGTCAGACAGGCTAGATACTGTGCCCCGGTTCCCCAAAAACACAGAGCTGACTGTTATCAACAATAAGGATGGCAAGTGAAGTCTAGTACAGCTGGAGAACTTTCATTCTTCATTCTTTAATTAGACTCAGGAAACTTTTAATCGGTTTGGATCTCTGATTGGACAAATAGCACCATACAGCTGTGATTCACTGGCCACGTCCCGTCAGTGGGTGGTTGACTGTATCAGCTGCCTTCTCTGTATACAAGGTGAGGAGACCATTAGCAGGTATAAGTAACTCTTCACCTTCTTTCACTGTTGTAATGTCTATTTTTCTGCCTGTCTAGTTCTTTCTGTCCTGTCTGTTGGCGCTTAGATAACAGAGTGGTGGCATCTTGTAAATACCTCATTAGAAGAGAAGATTATGATGTGTAAAGAGCCTAGCACACTTTTGGGAACTGTACAAATAATAAATGGTCTGCATACAGGTAGATAACTGCTAAATTCCTTAGGGCTTCTCTACACTGGGACACTAGGGAAAGTTAATACAAATTAACTAAAGGTGTAAATTTAAAGTGCTTTAGTTAAATGGCATTAAACGCATGTGGATGCTCGGATTCTGAATTAAAATGGACCTTATTAATTTTAGTGAATTACATGAATTAAACTAACCTGAATTAAGGCCACTTTAATTCTACATAAGTGTGTCCCCATTGGTGTTTAATGAAGTTTAACTAATGCATTTTGAAAATGAATTTGGATTAGCTTTCTTGACTATCTCCATGTAGAGAAGCCCTTCGTACTAAACATTTTCATTCTCTTTACCCTGCCACAGGCTGTATTAGAGGGGTTTCCTGGAATAATTCTTTAAACAAAAAGTTCTTCCAGCAGCCCTCTGTCGTGAGCATTCAAAGCTACTGGAGTAAGTGTAGGCCATTTTCCCCTTTGTGAAAGACTAGGATATTATTTTCACCTACTGGGATAGAGCTAGGTTATTTTTTAAGGCCATTTCCAATTAGGGTGAACAGACAGCAAATGTGAAACTTCGGGACAGGATGTGGGGGGGGGGGTAATAGGAGTTTATATAAGAAGAAGACCCCAAAATTGGGACTGTCCCTATAAAATCAGGACATCTGGTCACCCTATTTCCAATTACTATTAATCAGTCCTAAAAAACAGTGTTGGTGATTCAGAACCAGAAGAAGGGACTCCAATCTTTGAATGTACAACATAGAAATCTCAGCATTGTTTAGAAGTGACTGATGAACCTGGGTTTCCTGCCAAAGGTTTTGTCCAGCCCCATCTCTTTTACAATGAGAGTTTGGTGGAGGGATTCACCTCTACATTGGAACCTCAGATCTACCTGCATGAGTTGTACTTGACTATGAGATTAGATTTAAATACTGAGAGCAGAGAGGCTACTGAAACCAGACACACCCAGAAATCTGCTCCAAGCTGAATACAGTGCTTGTTCAATCCTGTATCATTCACAGGGCCGGCTCCAGGGTTTTTGCCACCCCAAGCAGTGCGGGGGGGGGGGAAAGCCGCACTCACGATCGGTGGCACTTCGGTGGCAGCTCCACTGCGTCGCTTTCTTCTTCGATGGCACTTCAGCGGCAGGTCCTTCCCTCCGAGAGGGTCCGAGGGACCCACTGCTGAATTGCTGCCGAAGAGCCGGACGTACCGCCCCTTCCCCTTGGCCACCCCAAGCACCTGCTCGTTGCGCTGTTGCCTGGAGCCGGCCCTGATCATTCACAATAACATACTACTACTGTTAACTTTCAGACATTTAAGGTGTAATCCTGACTCCATTACAGTCAACAGGAGTTTTGCCATTGACTTCAATGGGGCCAAGATTTTACACTATGCTGATAACAGCATAGCACATGGATCCTCC